AATTATATATATATATATATATATATATATATATTGCAATAATATATAAATACTATTGATAAATATATAAAATCTCCACGAACTATCGTCGCAAAATAATTCCGTGGCTGGAAAGGAAAGGTTTGAAGTATAAAGGAAAAACTTTTACATTTTAGGCCCCCTTTATCTTTCAAACTTGGTTCGACTTCTTTTATTTAGAAAATGATGACAAAGCATTTCACACAATAGCGAAATTTTAATCTTTTATGAGCGCAAGGTGAAGGAAGAGGAAGAAATATCTGTATCTCGGTTGGAGAAACATGGAGCCACGTTTCACGCCGTGTCTCTTCATTGAGAATAATCGCCGCGTCTCGTCGGATGTAATATTAAAGATGGATGGACGCAGCGAAGAATGAAGATCTCAAAGACGACGAAGAGCAGGCCTAGAAGTTTATAGAGAATATGTAGCCCACGTCGTGTGGGGAAAAGAAATTAGGTATAATCCTAAATAACAATGTAATAACGATGCGTAATAATTCTCTGTGATTTTGCAAGTTGACGTTTCGCACCTTAGGAAAGAAGAAAAAAAAACCCAGTATAATCTACGTGAAGAATTAGAATGCTCTTTTTTTTTTTAAGGCAACAACTAACATAGAGAAATCGTACGTCGTAAGACCAGAGTATTCCGTTTAAGTTTAACGCGATCTTATCTTTAGCTTCGTACTGCATTAGAGCCGCGTAAATAAGCGAAACGAATAAAACGCGTAATACTCCGTGCGGGGAAAGGAAAAGGAGGAACGAAGAAGAGAGGACTCACGTGGGATGGGCTAAAATGTCTTCAATTCAGTGAAAGCTCTTTTTCTGATTTCAGAGCAAAAAACGAGTTTGCGTTTTCATAATCTCGCTTGTTTGATAGATCTTCTTTTACGTATCTTGCTTTTACGTTTCGATTCACCTCGAGAGTATTATAACGACACTAAAGCCGAGTTGATGATTACACGCTGCGACTCACGTGTCGGATACATTCGATAGACCGTCCTGGTACAGAAATAGGGGAGGGAAATTACGATAGCGCGTTTGAGAATCCGCGGACGAACTCAGAGAAAGAGAAACGGGGAAAGGATATTTGGAAAGATGCGATTAACCGGTTCTACAAATGCTACCGAGGTCCCGAAGGCTGTGTTTACTTGTTGAGAGTCCTTCGGGCCGTTGTGGTTACATGTCAATGAATGAATATTAAGCGAAACGCGAGCAAAGTATCTTTTTATGAGATGAAAACAAAAAGAAAACGCGATGTACTATAAAAGAAGTTATAAATACTATGTAATAAATTATTATTATTATTGTTATTACGATTATTACTTGCAATGATTACTACATCACTACCGCATAATTAGGCGACTAAATAAATTATCAAAAAAAAAAAAACAAGATACAGATATACATATATATGAAGTATTGTGCATAGTGGTTGAATATCGTGTTGCAAGATAACCCTATATTGTTCTCTACGTGCGAAATGGTTTGACGCCGACTAAACCATAACTTACAAACAGTTTATACTTCACAATTCCCCCCCCCCCTGATCTATATTGTATTCCGTTTTTTTTAAACCATGTTTTATAAATACCAATATCTTCGAGGCCAATTGAATCATACCGATCGATCTCGCTTTGCATATTTTATAGATGCTATTCGAAATCAAATAATATTTTATTTCAGATACCTCACGATAAAAGAGGATTCTCGGCATAAATAAGTTTTCAAAAGATAATTATAATACTGTAATACTAATTTAATTTATTCATTATCGTAACGTAACGTGTTCCTTTAAGTTTTTAATCCCGAAGAGCACAAGTATACTTGTAGTATTACCTAATGTTGCTGAATTTCTATTCAAAAAAATTGTAATCAAATGCGTTTTTACACAAGTCACTAAGAAAAAAAGATTATTTTTTCGATAATTGACGAAAATAAAATTGAGAATTATAAAATTAAGAAATTAAAAAAAAAAAATATGTTAATTCGTTATGCTCTTCGGAATTACAGAATTACGTCTTTTTAACATTAGTAAACGTGCGATCGAATCATTCGTTTTTA